TTACTGCGATTGAGAAACAATAGACGTTATAATTAGCGCTTACTTTTCAATGTCAGCAACCCAACGGGTATGTCCCTCTTATCCTCAGAACCACTCCCACACGTAACCAAACAAAGTGAAGACTCAGGTAAAAATAATTTTTGAAACTAAGCTTGAAGTCGTTACTTCGCTATGACGATATATTAGGTTGTGGTTGTAAGTTATTTAAGTGGCGATTGCGAATGGTACTCTCTTCCATTTCCTCTATGGCACAACAACCAACACACGAGCTGAAAGCAAACAAGTAATTTATTGTGGGTGCACCTGTTGGGAACCACCTTCGATCGCGGAATATCTCGCAAACTAACAACAATCAATCTCCTTTACTGACTACACATCAGTAAACATATGCTCCGTACAAATACCTTACAGAATTCCTTCGCTTTGGCAAATTTGCAATTATTGCAAATAATTTTCAGTTTCCTATTACCAGCCAACCTAGACATGCATTGTCAGGTATTTGCTTTTAAACTCAGAGCCATTCAGGCTGGTGATCTACAACTTCGCTAACATTACGGAACACTTTTAGAGTGAACCCTCAAGTGAGCACACAGGCAAAGTGTCACTCAGCGGGGAGACCTGGGACTCTAACCTTACAGACTGGTAACTTCATTCGTTTTACCGTTTAAACACCCAAGCTTAGTCTCAGTGAGGCTGCCACTTAGGCTGAGTAATTGCAAGACTGCTGATATCATTAGAAATCACTCTTGACGACAAGCTTTGTCGCTAGAGCGAAGGGCTCTGACAAAGGGCTAACGCTCGAAACGTCAGCTTTGAAACTCTTAAAGGTGGCCAATTTACGTTATCAACCCACTTGATAATACCAAATTACCTTGTTATACTCTCCCACCGATGCAGCACCAGTTTCTTTAGAAACTTATCCTCTTTATTTAAGATCACAAGAGCGACATCACTAAAGATTGGTGCCAGTTACGCTAAAAATTGGGCAGGGGATTTGCTAGTAAGGATTTATCCCCAGCTAAGGATCAACAAATCTGACATTCCAAACACGGTAAGTTATTATTAAAAGAAACTATTGAATATTGATAACTCAAAATGTATCATTAGACACTATACGAAAAAAAAACGTTCACAGCTACACAACCTGACCCAATTTGAAACCTCAAAGAACCTAATTACGTAAATAATACAACCGCATGGATATGAACAAGTATCAGAGCTGAGCTACCGCTTACAACAAGCAAATGCTGTCATACGGAGGCTAGCAAAATTTTTTTAAAAAGTGACCCAAAGGAAAAAAGGTAGTCAGGTAATCTAGCTTGTAACAATTAAAAAGAAATTCGTCTAAAATCAACCGAAAGTGAGTTTTTTCTCTAACTGTTATACTGGAGATCATTCTAATAAAGTACCCGAATAACTAAAACCTCCATGTTTGATTTAGTTCGATCATCGCCGAACACAGTCGCACTCAGTCGAGCGGTTGTTTTAAAAGAAAGTTCGTTCGTTCTGTTACGCCGGAGATCATTGAAGAGAGTCATAGCCGAGAAAAGTACTCGAATAACATCGAAATGGTTCGAATCTATTAATTTTGATCGGCAACGCGAGGAACGAATATCACTTTCAGAATTGGCACGATCAATTGGTGAGGATATATTAAAACAAACGTTGCACAATTCTAACTTCGTTCTTGTGACACATCATCTCATCTGCAACAGCACTTTGTCAAATTTGTATTGTCACGAAATAACCAAGGAATCCTATTTAGTTGAATAGCGAAGCGCATATGTTTCTAACTTACCCTTGGGAAGAAGTGGATCTCTTGCCAGTCTTTCTCATTTGACCGAGCCAAATTACGTTGTCCATCTCCTACTTTTCATTTCCGATGCTTTCCATTTGTGATTTGTATTTTGCATTCTGCAATTTCGTCAAAGGGCGGTGACGCGGTCGATGCCATTTCGAAACTACCTTAGTACGGAGTTGACGTATAAGCTATAAGAGGGTCTGAATGAGGTTAACTGACTTGTGATAATGGGCGAAAAATAGATCTGACTACCAACAAAACGAAAAAACAATTACCTAATAGCGAAAAGTAAATACCAACCGACAACCGACATGGTCTAACATTATCACTATTTTTATTCAGAAAGAAGAGCATTCTAGCCTAGACGTAGAGGAGTGTCTGAATGGGGTTGACCGACTAGTGATAATGGGCGAAAAATAGACCTGACTACCAACAAAACGAAAAAAAACCAATTACCTAATGGCGTCAAGTAAATACTAACCGACAACCGACATAGTCCAACATTATCGATATTTGTATTCAGGAAAAAGAGAATTCTACAACAAACGGACATATTATGGGTATATTTTTGAAGGCAGACTTCAAAAGTTCATGTGTCGGTTTGCACTGAAATTGCTTTGCCTTTCTCTTTCAAAAGCTTCTGCAATTTTCTTTCAAATTAAACTGTCACAGTTTTCATTGTGAAAAGGCTAAGATATTGTTGATAAACTTAGGAAATCGACTTTCGTTTTAGATATCGACCTTCAATCAACCTCTCAGATTAAAACAAACCAACAAATTTTTGCGAAAGGCTTGAAGTACTTTGGCAATGAAACTCTTAATATAAAGAGTAAATAACTGAGAGGCGGTCTTACAGCACGCTTCACACCGCAGAACACTGATAACATCTGTTAGCTGCTGTTCTCGCTTCATTTTCATTGCAGAAAAATTTGTTTAACTCTTTCAGATTATCAGTCGCTGATGTTCATGTCCGTTTACTTATTCAGTTACACGACCAAATATGTCACATCACGGCTATCAAACTTTTATCGGCAAACAGCAGCCAATATACCGTGGGAAAAGTAAGGATAAAATTTATTTCGAACAGGTGCCTTTGCTTATATGTTCTTGTGTTTTTCCTTTTCTTTTAATTAATTTATTCTTGTTGAGTTAATTCAGTTCGAAGCAGATGTTCATCAATAGATTGAGGACGTCGAAAGATAAATTATTCAAACTCTTCGGTCTACAGTCGACTCTCGCCCTTCGGACAACTCGATCGTTATAACGGACACCACGCCATTGGGGACAAGAGCCAGTCCCCTTGCGAAACGCAAAAAAGAAATAACTGAAATAAACTCCCGTCATTACGGACTCTCGCTATTACGAAAATGCGGACACTTTCATGCCCCCCAGCGCAACATTTTACTTATCTTTTTCTCTCGCTATAGCGAACACTTCGTCCAAAATTCAGGCTAACATAATATAAAGCGACATTACGATGAAGGAAAATAAAGAACCCATTTTTCAATTGGGTGCGAACTTGAGAATTTCCTGCTTGCAGCCGTATCTTTTTTCCGGCTCGTTAGAAACTTAATGTTGGCTCAGTAACATATTATTTCATATATTTAGAGACAATCCAATATTTTTTTCTCGCGCACCATGCCATTTCGCACTCTCGTTTATTGACACTAGATCTCCCCCTGAGGGTGTTCGCAATAACGGAGTCGACTGTAAAATTAAATATAACATAGCTAGTAAATTTGTCTGATCAAATTCAATTGCGCGAACGTCCTTCATATTCCCATTGTGCACACTCATACACCGTATTCATAAATGGCCGCCGCGCGGAACGGTCTGGAATCTAGCGCATGAAATCGAGGTCGGAAAGGCCAGATTAATGGTACTTAGAGAGCGACTAGACGTGGAGAGCTACTTAGATGCGCTGTTAGATAGGAAAAAGTCCCATAATTTCCAGTTTTTTTGTATATTTCTCGGAAAAAGGTCAGAAAATCCAGAGGCAGTTTCAAGTACTTGACTGGCAGTGTTAAGCAGCCCTCAAGATGCCAACGCATTGCTGCGTGCCGCTATGTACAAGGAAAGGATATCGCGACGAAGAAACCGGAGAGAAAGTTTCTTACTTCAAATTTCCCACCGAAGAAAGGTTAAAAAAGTTGTGGATCTATGCTATTCGGAGAGATGAAGGAAAAAATTTCCAGGTTTCAAATAATACCAAAGTTTGTTCGCGGCACTTCAAATCTGACGATTTAAAGAAGAGTTTAAATGGCGTGGTTTCCTTGAAAAATGGAGCTGTTCCTTCAGTTTTCGCTTGGAAACGAAGCTCACCTCGCAAGCGACCGCCTCCAACGCCTCGTATCTCCAGTACGGCCGCTTCTGTGTCTCAAAACTTAAACGAAAATATTAGTGAACTTGTGGAGTCTGCCTGTTCGAGCGAAAGTTTGGAGACATCGGAATGCTCATCCAACTCACACCTTGCACCGGAAATGGAAGCACAGCAAACAGCGACAAAATTTGATTTGCAGTCCAAAGAAAATCTGGAAATTGCTAGACTCGAGAAACTTTTAGCCGATACTATCGAAATTAAAGAAACGTTAGAGAGCGAGGTGTTATCTCTGAAGGCAAACATTGTTCTTCTCGAGCAAAAATGTGAGCAACTCGAGAAGCACGCGTTTTCATTTGACAACGTCAAAACAGATGACTCTTTGTTGACATTTTATACTGGGTTTCCAAATGTCCAAACAATGATGGCTCTGTACGAATATTTGGATCCTGGTTTAAATGGCATGAATATAAAATACTGGCTTTCTGGCCAAGATAATTCACAAAAGGCTGCTGCTGGTAATTCAGTCAAGCAAGGAAGGCCTAGGACTTTAACGCCATCTGATGAATTTTTTCTGGTAATGTGCAGACTGAGGCAAGGATTTGCTGAAATGCATCTTGCACACTTGTTTAAAATTTCTCAGTCGACTGTAAGTAGAATATTTATTTCATGGATTAATTTCATGTACTTAAAACTTGGCCAGATAAATATCTGGCCATCCAGGAAATTGTTGGATGAATCAATGCCTGAAGCTTTCAAAGAAAAGTATCCCAGCACAAGGGTAATAATCGATTGCACAGAGGTTCGCTGTCAGATGCCTAGCAGCCTTCTGTTAAACAGTGAATTATTTAGCTCCTATAAAAACCATACCACCCTAAAAGCACTGGTGGGAATTTCTCCCAAAGGATCAATAACATTTATAGGACAGTTATACACTGGCAGTATATCAGATAAAGAAATGGTTGAACGCAGTGGTTTTCTGAAACTACCCTTTGAACAGGGAGACTCAGTAATGGCTGACAAGGGTTTTACAATTGAAGATGTTCTTCCCCTGGGAGTGTCCCTTAACATCCCTCCCTTCCTTGGAATGTCTGACCAGATGCCAGCTGAAGATGTCATAAAAACACAAGAAATCGCAAGCTTGCGCATCCATGTGGAAAGGGCCATAAATAAAATTAAGAACTTTTTAATATTTGAGGGTGTTATCCCAATAAGTCAGTTCTGTACAGTAAATCAAATGTGGTGTGTGTGTGCAATGCTTTGTAATTTTCAAGATCCCATCATAAGTGCATAATTGTATCATTGACATACTTGCATTGAAGTACAGTTTTCCTATCTAAATGAAGTTTATTTAAGCCTCTCTAGATCCTTGCATAAACCCTAATTTGTGTAGTTCCAGAAAATATCCATCCTCCCACCAAATAGAAGGGATTGGAAATTCCACAGTGGGGGGGGGGATGGGGTCTCAAAAGAAAAAAATAATTCAAGAAATGTTTGAAGTTTCAGCTCAATTTCTAGACAAGGGGGGGTATCAAAAATCTCTTCTTTGGGGAATTTTCTGGAACTACACATTGCACTTGAATACATGTAGCATTTTAAAAGGTCCAAAAAATCAGAATAGACACTGAACTTGTAATTAATTGTCAATAAATGTTCTGTTGCAAATATGATAACTTGAGTGGAAGTACACAATGTAGAATGCAAGCCCAAAGAAAGGAAATGGCAGTACACTGTACAAGAAATTATTTACAAATCCCCTTTTGCTATTATTATACCTGATTGCATGACAAAAGGGAAGAACTGGTATTAAACCTCACAAAATAAGAATAAGACCCCATCCCTCATTGATCTTTTTTAAGGAATGAATGATATTGTAGCCTTGCAAAAAAATGCCCCCTTTTTTAGAAAAATGGTATTTTTACCTCCTTTGATGCATATTAAAAATGAATGAATGGAAAGCAAGGGAGAAATTTCATTGTCTTGTGTTCATTGACAAGACATAAAGCAAAACTAATTCAATTAAAATGGTGAAAAAACAACAACAACAAAAACTTAATTTTGACCACAAAAATTTACAAATTGCTTGTGGATTACTATACAAAGGAAGTGAAATGAAGTGAAAACCCCTAAAGAATCTGGCATTTACACTGCCTTTGCTGCATGCTTTATGAAATTAGCAAAATAATAAGATACAAGCTTTTGCCTTAATTCTGCCCAGTATGCAGGGTCAAAGGCAATCCTTTCCACAGAGATCCCTTTCTTGGTGTATACAATAAAATCACACCAGGATGCTCCAGATACACCCATCTGGCCCTGAACTTGAGCAAAGTAAGCATGGTTCCTTTTGAGTTTACAATGTCCATTGACAGCTTCACAGCAGAATGTGGGATCCTCACAAGCCTCCAAAGGGGTAACATGAAATTTAGTTTCTGGACATTTAACCTCGGCTAGTCCAAAGTGACGCTCACATCCAAAATCAACAACCCTTGCATCAGGGGAGCCAGCAAGAATTGGCATGTGTTGTGAAATGACCAGACCACAGTTGAGGACCTTGACTGGTGTCTTTCGGGTTAGCATTACTTTTTCATATTCTCTTAGTGCAATTGGCTCATATTTCAGTCCATGCTCGACATGTCTTGAAGAGAATGGCTTTGGGTTGATGAGCTCAGCTGCAAACTTGTCATGGTTCCTTTGCCTCTTACTTATTAGCTGAAATCTTGAAGCTGTAAATCTATATTTGCGCTCATTTTTCCAGCATTCAGAATTTGATTGCTCTCTTGTGGCAGATTCAATGCTGTTAATAGAATTTTCATCAACTTCAAGAGTCTGAATAAGTGCTTTCTCAGCATCGTCTAGATTGTCAGGAATGTCAAATGTGTCCATTGCAGATAATGGAAATCTGGGGTAGGTCAGTTCGGTTGGCAGAGAGTTGTTTAATCGAGGTATAGAGGCAATGTCAATGGTGGCACTAAAATTTGCCTCTGTATGGGTTAGCTGATAGCTACAGAATGATCCTGTCTGGCTCTCACCAAATTTGGTTTGCACAAAGGCTGTGGGAGAATTTTCTGCAGCCATTAATGACAAACCAAACTGTGGGTTTATACCTTGAAGAGTCTTCTTCAAATCAGCTTCTGCCTGGAGGTCATGAGTAGGTTTCATCCTGGCTTCATAGAGCAGAGACTTCACCCCTTCCCTTATTTTTGTTTCGTCGAGCTTTGTCTTGGAAACAGTTACTTCCATGACTGGTTGAGGATGGATGTTTTCCCCACGGCCTTTAGCATGCCACCTCTGAAGCTGTGAAGTGCATGCTAAATTGGGTTGTTCATCATCTTCATTGTCCAGGTCATCAGTTGCCTGGCTGTCATACAAGCTAAACTTGCATCCTTTAAACATTAATGCAAGGACATGGTTACAATAACCCACTTTTCCAGCTTTACACGAACAGTTGGCATGCATAACTTCACCTGAGACGATGCAAAGCACAAAACGAAGACTGTGTGGAGCATCATTCTTCCTGAAGCTATGATAGCATTTGGCTCTCAGGTAGAAGTACCTTTGATCGCTGTTTGCTTCTATATCTTTGAGATACTCATCCTTTAAAAATGTCTTCGCTTTTCTCAAGTTCGTGGGAATCGAATGATTGTCAGCATTACCCACTTTCTTCCCAGAACTTTCAATGTGCTGGTTCATTTCGGCCCTCGAAAACGGCGGCATCCTTTCAAGTGATTTTCCCAGCCATCGCTTGGATACTTTGGGGCTGGAGTTTCAGGGGAGCGTTCGGCCGGCAGATTTGAAAGCCTGGTCTTTCTTTTCGTATAAATCTTATCTTTATCCGGATCGACCACCATCATATCTCGACCAGACGTGATATATTCTTGGACCCTATAATAAAAACAAAGATTATCAATGTAAAAGTTCCGCCAAAGCCACGTGTATAAATAGTTGCGTATGCTCACCGTTTGACAAAGCACGCTTTAGTCTTGAGTCCTTTAAGAGACTCACCGCGGCACCTTAGCCAAAACTTCAGTTCTTCATTCTTTAAGGATGAAGGATTTCTCCCATTCAAGGAAGCACCGGGTATATCGTTCTCGGTGAGAATAGTGTTGCTATCTGCGGACGAAGAGCTGGACAACGCCATGATTTCTTTGTTGTTTACTTTACCGAGGCCTTTCCGACCTCGATTTCATGCGCTAGGTTCCAGACCGTTCCGCGTGGCGGCCATTTATGAATACGGTGTATGACGTCAGCAAACAAATCCATCGAGAAAAAAAATTTTCCATCGGCCTGAAAATGTTATAAAACAATTAGTTCATACGTCAGCCGTGCATTCATTGAAATGATACTCAAGCTAGAGTTTTCGCCTCGAGCAACTCTTACGCATCCTTCGTGCTCTCCAAACTTCCCGTGTGCTTCATATCTCGATGAACTTACGCTGACGTATGAACCAATCGTTAATTAATCAGGCTTGCTTTTCACAATCAATCAATCATCAGCAGAAAAGTCAACCATTCAAGCTGGATACAGCTTTAATGTCAAGTGTTCTAACGTTTTCAAATTGTAGATGAAGTGTCCAACGCCTATAAATACAAAGAAAGAAGACACTAAAGAGTATTGACAAACTTTTGCAGTTGTTCCAAAACATCTTTCCAGGTAACGTAAGATTATTAATAGCTTGTATATCTTCCGTTGCGTTAACATTGACTGAATTCACTTTCCTCTTTCGGCACTTGTAAATTTGTATCGCAAAAGCTGCAGCTTTGAATGATTTTGAAAAGTATTTCGGTTCAAATTGTCGACGCAATTTTATTATGGAAAGGGTAGGACATCTTAACAACAGTCAACAATTATTATCACAGTTAGTGAAGTTTAAGAGCGAATCCATGCAAAAATCGACCAAAATCGTCAATTCGTGGCAAGGCTCAAAAAGTCAAAATCGCTCTTCTTTTGCATAGTGGTAGACCTAAGTAAGTATACAAACGCTATGTAGTTTTTTATTCGAAAGAACCGCTCGTTTTCAAGAAAAACGCGGAAAACCGTTTCAAGCCCCGCGGTCGATTTTACAAGCCAAAAACAGGGCTGAAATTCACTACGATTCGCTTGACTCGCGTTTCAAAACAACCGCGCTAGAAAAAAAATATATCACTAAAATTTTAAGTATAACTCGTCGTTAGAATCGTAAAAGTGCGCAAGATACTAAGCTAACATTCATTATTTATTGTTTACTCATAAAAATATATCTTCCTAATAAACGTCAACCGTCAAAGGCCCTTACATTTAATCGTCAACTGTCAAAACCTAAACAGAAATTATCCGCCAACCGTCAAAGCTATCTCCCATTAATAAGATCCTCTTTCGAGGAGAACGGAGGATAGATCAGTCATGGCTCACACGGTATAAAGGGTAGGGGGGGGGGGGGGGGGTCTATATATAAAATTGACTACCAATTGAGGGGAGAATGCTGAGAATATTACGGAGCCTTAAGTGGAATAAGGATAATTCTCTCGTGGGTAACAGCCGGTTTCGCTACTCGTCGAGTTCGCTACGTTCGAGTTCGCTACAAGTTCGCTACTTACATGCCGAATTCGCTGCTTAGTTCATCCTACCATTCTAGTTCCACGATCTTTTAGAACCAAAATCTTGTTTTAAAGAAATCTGCCTTACTCAACCTGAAATGGGCGTCATGTTTTAGTATATTATCGTGGTTATCATCGAGCCCGCGCATCGCTTATAATGGAACAGCGGCATTAACAAGAGAGAGAAAACACAAAACCAGTAAAGAAGAGTCAAAATTATTAATATTACAGTACTTTCTTTATTATTAAACTATATATTTCAGAGTCTATATACACGCTAAGAAGATTTCTACTCAAAGTAATGTAAAC